TGAATCAGTCAGGGATGTGCACCTTGACATTGAATGCCTCAAGTCATTTTAGCTTTGGGTTATGGCTAGCATGTTTGTCAGGTTAGTGATTATAGTAACCATTTTTGATTATCCAACGTGGTTGATTATACCATATTTTTGATTATTATCTGTAGCTCATATTCATAGTCCCAGTTGTTACATTGTTGAGGTGGTAATAATCTCACTGTCATCATCTTGACATTGAATATCTGGTTCAGGCCTTACAAAACACGAGCACCGATTTTCAGTCTTCTTTTCTTTTTTTTTCTTTTTTTGACACCAAAAGCATTTTGAAGTTAATTCTTATTTAAATTTCTGACATTTTCTTCTCTTAGTCAGTAAGTAAAAGACACAGGGGCCCCACAGATCTGACTTAGAGGCACTGGTATAAATAGACTGAAAGGAATACATACACCAATTTGTTAAAAGATTGTTTCATTTTTATACAACCAAAAATGGAATCAGAATAATTTGAGAGATCCTCTACATATCCTACATTAAGTGGCTTTTAAACCAAGATAAAGAGTGTAACACCAGCATTAATTAAGATGCACAACAGGTACCATTGTTGACTCCACCCCTTCTACCTGCCCAGCTGGGAAAAGCAGTGAAGATCCCCATAAAAAGAGAGTGAAAGAGGGCAAGTGCAAGTGACTCCTCCACACACAGAGATACTGTAAGATAAACTGATACACTGATACACCAGTCATCCTTCTTGGCAAACATGGATGTATTCTGGGTCTAGACTGGGTTTGGTCCACTCCACTGTCCTGGAACTGGTACTGTCGGGAGGGTCAAGGTAACATGGTAGAAGCTACGATTGGCTGATGTGAACAAATGAGCTGTGGTTGCCCTGTAAGGAGAGGAAACAAAGTTGGTTGCAAATAGATGGAATTTTAGTCACAGGTGTGACTATGTAGTTTTCAGACATGCTAGAGATGGCCCGCTGTGGGTTTTCTGTGGGCAGTGTGGACAGAGGTACATCACACTATGTAGTCCCATTTTGCCCCATGCAATTTACCCAAATTTTTGTTTCTGGTGTTTCTGGGTTTCCATGCAGGCTTGATGTTTGGCTGCACCCATTGTGGGCTGATATGTGTGCAAGATTAGACATTTTCTTTGGAAAGCTGCTAAATGCTCCCTCTGCTGGTCAGATGCATAACATGTTGACTAATGTTCTGTTTTCCCTCTCAGGTGTAGCTGATCTGCTCATCTCTCATCTAGAGAGAAACAATAAAGAGGGGGCAGGGATTTTTTCTCAGTCTCTCTGTTCCACTTTCCAATCTATAGGCATGCAGCATTTGCAACTGGAGTCCCAGGGAAGTTGACTCCAGTTTTCTGTTAGTTGTTTAGTTATCTAGGCTTCCCTGGGTGGCTTACCTTCCTTTTTACATTTTGGCCGGCCCATCAGACCTTTGTTATCAGTATTATTATTTGAGACCTATTATTATGTCTCATGTCATTTATCTGGAAACATGCAATGAAAAATGACTCACAACTGGACAATTCAATTAATCCTCACTTTTTACCTTACCATATCAGCTGTGGATTGCTGGTTGTAAGAAATGGTAACTATTTTTCAGAGATTATGCGTTGTTGTGAAACAACTACTTTTGTCATATGATTGGACGGTCCATTCATTTTTCTTTATCTTACTTGGCTCATAAAGTTAGTCACAGTATGAACGGGTGAATTGGTGTTGACTTTTGCATGTTCTTGTTCTTCTTTTCCAAACCAGTTGAACAGACACATTTTCTTCTGTGAACCGAGGGATAAGGAAGAGGCTGCTGAGACACATTCAGTTTCCTTTTATTTAAACTTAATTCAGAAGAATTCACACTTGTTTTTAAATTTGTTTTTAAAAAGTAACATGACAAATACAGCGGAACTGAAACCGTCAGTCAAGGAGTCTAAATGCCAACATATTTAGCCTCAATAATTAAAGCTTTCTTTCTGCTTTTACTTAGTAATTACTGTTAGGGATGTCGGCGCGCGCAAGATGATGTATAACAACAACAACAACTACACTAGACTGGTTGGCTGCTAACCGTGGCTAACAAGCAAACAATTTAAAGCTGAATGATTTTAATATTAACACAAAATAAGTGCAATGCACCTTAAATATTTTACCCTGCTATGAGCTGTTCCTTAACCAAACTAACAACTGGCTTAGAATTTACATTAGCACTCCTTCAGGTGAATAATACAATTAAACACATTAACCAAAGATAGCGATAAGCGAGATATGTTATGTTGTTACCTAACAGCAGAGCTGCCAACTCTCACACTTTCGCAGTGTGACACACGGTTTTGCCTGTTTTCACACACACTCATGCCACACATCCAATTTCTCACGCAAAAAAATCCGATCTCGGGCCGTTTTGGTCCCCTGCAGTTTTTACCGTCCAAAAACAATGTTACACTGTAGTAAAGAGAGACTAGCACCAAGCGGAAAAGGGCCGCGCAAGCTGAAGCCTGTTAGTTTAGACCCGCCCACAAGCTCCTCGATTGGCTCTGCTGTTTGTTTGTGATTGGCCGTCCCCGCTGTCACTCCATCTTGCTCGCACACCGGTCTGCTGGAGCTGCCCAGGTAATATCAGAGGTTTCATTTACATTCATGTTTGAATCGGTGTCCATGTGCATATATGTTTGTGTGTGTGTGTGTGTGTGTGTGTGTCCAAAATGTTTATTCTCTATTTACATTTACATTATTTACAACCAGTCAAACCAAAAAAGGGAACAGTAAACGTAAAAGTAGCAATAGAAAACTAGAAGAACTACTATTGTGTATTGTGTAATGGGGGCGCCCGCTGGTTAGCTCAGTCGGCGACCCATATACAGAGTTGCAGATCGGATTCGAACCCGCCCCGCTGCCCCCCTGCTGCGTGTCTTGAATCTTGAAATAAATTATTTGTTTGTGTGTGAACATGATTCAGTGTGGTGAAAGCTGTCATAACAAGCAGCAGGAGAGCACCTTGTTAACCTTGTGGTATACTGCATGCTCACAATATCGGGTCATTGCATTGTTTATTTAATCACAGTTTAATACCATACCGGCTTTGGGCCTCCCCACAAACCACCAGAATGCAGGGTACAACATGGGAACAACATCAAATGAATTCCAATTCTCTGATATCTGCGCCACCAACTTGTGTGGCTGCGTGCGCGGCATCATTTTGGTCACCCCCGACAAAATCTCACTCCAAGGTTTTTTGAAAAGTTGGCAGGTATGTAACAGTTTTGGTGTAAAAAGCCTGCACATATATCGGTATCGGGTGATATCAGTATCGGAAATTGAGAGTTGGACAATATCCGAACTGAAATAACAACATATCTGTATAAAAGTATAAGGTCAAAGTGCAATCATTTCAATACCATCCGAGTGTCCGTGTATAATTATGATTCAAAAGTAATACTAAGTCAGCTGTGAAATAAAGCTACATGTTGTTTGTCAAGATTAAACTCTGCCTATCTGCGTTTTATGATGGACCAGGTTGACCATAAACTGTGAAGCGGTTGGTTACTGGTTTATTTATTTATTGTTCTACAAAACAGGGATGTACACCAAAATGCTAGTTGTAGTCCTTTAATACTACTCACAAAACAAATATTGAATATTAAATAGATATAATATATCAGTAGTCTATACAGCAGCAGAATTTTTTTCATAATTTTCCAGATCAGGGTCAGTGCTGTCTTCCTCTGGGCTCTCCGCAGCCACCTCACGGACATCACAAAATATTTTGGTCAGTTTATTATTTGAACATATTTATGATGGTTAAACTGTAACATGATTTTAAAAAAGACTGAAAAAAAAAGATTTGCTTTGCATGCATTCATTGGTTTCGCACAAAAAACACTTTGACATAATAATGTGAATCTTGCATAAGGATCTTAATACAACAGGTGCAGCCTCTCACAATTTTAATGGATAATCAGCCTATGCCTGAATTATGTCCAACAATATTACAGTAAAGTGGAAATATTTACAGAATTTCATGTACAAAAGGGCCCACACAGGAAAGTCAAATACCCATCAGAGAAGTATCCTCTGGCTAAAGAGGTGAAGAAAAAATATATATATTCAAAAGAGGGGAAAACACCACACAGAACCACAATATTGAAAAAGAACTAAGATAAAAAACTGACAAATGTCAACAGGGATAACTGAGTGTTACAATAATCTCCCTCCTCTCTTTGACTGAAGTTTGCTCTCAATCTCCTCTCTCTGTTTCTCTATATCCTCCATTTGGTTCTTAATTTTCTCCATGTGTTTCTCTACTTTTTCCTTCCTTTCTGTTATTCTTTTAACCTCATCCATTGTGCTCTTCATCAGTCTGTCTGTGTTCATGTGCAGTTGTTGATGTTCTTGCTTTCTCTATGTGAACAGAGACAGTGTAGTTTTTTTTTAGAAAACACATGTTAAACTACATTAGACAAAGAAACAAAACATAAATGTTAAAATAAGAAATATTGGTTCATTCATGTCATTTTACTTCTCTTCTAAGAAACATTTTAAAATAAGACACAAACCATTTAAAACAGGAAGCATCATTTCATTTTTACTCTACATGGCAAGTTTTGAAACTACATTATGAAGAGAAGGTCAGAATTTTTATTGATATTGATAAATGAAAACTGGGTTTACTTTTATACTGTTTTGTGATGACTTGCTTAATTATATCATGTCCACAGCATAAGAGTTTGAAAATGCATTGTTTAAAAAAGTCAAATACATTCTTGGCTCACTGATTTCCGACCGAGCGACTGCAAGAACAAACATGAAGCCAAACAACACACTGAAGGCAATAGAAGCAGCACAATTAGATGTGGCCATGAAGAAATTCTCTGAAATATTAGAAGACAACAACATTATATATTATATATATTATAGCTAGACAACATGTTTGACAGAAAACTGAAGGTCTGTGTGTGTTTCACTGAAGCTGAAACTTCTGGTTTGAGAAATAATTTCTACCTGGAACATAGATGTGTGTCTCTCTGGTCTGGTTGATGTCCTTCTGTTGGACTCTACAGGTGAAGTTGTTGCTGTGTCTCTTCTCCACAGTCACTCTGCTGCTGACAGTATAGAGGTCATCAGGACCTCTGACTGTCTCTGTAGGTCCAGCAGAGAGGAGGTTTCCCTCACCATCCAGCCAGACCACCTCAGGCTCTGGATACCAGCCTTTAGACCTACAGTCTAACATCACTGCACTGTTGGCCTTATGGATGCCTGATAAGTTGATTCCAGGTGAGGAGACAGAACCTGATGATGAGAGACAAATTATTGGTCCAATCCTCGAATGATGCAACATCTTCTCAGGACAGTGAACCCGACTGATATTTAAAGCACTTTTTTGGTCAAAGTAGAAAAATTGCAGTCAATGTACTTACCGACAAGAAGTTCAAGAAAATATTCTTTATTCAGTTTTGGAATGAAGCATCTGTATCTCCCGTTATCAGAGATGGTCACTTTGTACAGGTTCAGTGAAAGGTCTCCAAGCTTCAGTCTATCATTGGACAATAACACTCTTCCCTTATACGCCTGGTTTTGGTCAGTCAGAAGTTCTTGACCATCATGCCACACATAGACAAATCTGGGCTCCAGGTCAGGTCTCCCCAATTCCATCGTCATGGAAACAGCATCCACAGGAGGTTCCAGCTGACACGGCAAAACAATGTCACCACCGACCATCACTACGACTGGCTGTAGTGGACCAATCTGCTGCACCTGACCTGGAAAAAAGTATAGTTCTATCGTATTAGAACGAGCACATTTACTTCATTGACCTATCACTATTAACATAAACTGATGATGGGTTCTGTTGAGTGTCAAGGAGTTACCTCTGTGTGTGTGTGTGTGTGTGTGTGTGTGTGTGTGTGTGTGTGTGTGTGTGTGTTACCTCCACAACGTGTTAAAAGAATGCTGACAGCCAAAACACAGATGGTTCCTAGGAATCCATCCTTAATGTTAACCATCCTGGAGTGTTGCATACACAGTTACTAAATATTAAGAAAACAAAAAACAAACAAAAACAGATTTTAGAAGCTGCAGCTGTTATAAAAAGCTTCTGCAGACGTGAGAACAGAGCAGATAGAACAATGTGGTTTAACAGTCACACTCTTTTAAACTGCTCGCTGTTAAAAATACACTGATGATGTGACCGAGACAAAGACCCCAGGTACAGACTGAGGGGGACGATGGACAAGATGTTTATAAAAAGCTTGACTAATTTAGATTGTCAATGCAGGTTGACTGCCAGTAAGTGTGTTTCTATTCAGATGCAACAAAAGTAAGAAAAACAAAACAGAAATATCTGAAGAGCTTGAATTTTATAGCCAACACGAATGTGTATAACTTTTTTTGATTATGTTTGGCATATACTAAGCTCTACTGTGTTTGATTCTAGTTACACAGAGTCCAAATGATGTTCATGTATGTACACAAAAAAAATGTCTGGGTGTGATTTCCAAACAATGAGATGGAAACAAATTACAACATCACTGTAGCTGAGTAAAGTATTAAATGGTCAAAATGAGCTCTTATGATACTGCACATGGCTTTATGGGAGTGAAAAATACAATAATCACTATAATTACATTAATTTCCTCAATTTATTAAAAATACTGTGTAAGTAACGGAGAGACAATTGATGCTTTAAAGTGATGCAAAATAACATGTTCAAAACCAAACTTTTTTGCGACAGTATGAAAAGATACAAATCACTGTAACAGTGTGATTTGATGGCGCTGGTGAGGTCAGCAGCCGTCGTACTTGCTCCGACACTTTCTTGTATATAGTGCTTTTTGCTTTAATTTTTAATTTATTTAGTCCACCTACCCTGTGTCATATCACTTATGACAGACAGGCACTCATAAACATTGGATTACAGTACTCAAACTTTTTTATACGAACACTTTCTTCCGACCCGGCGTGGCCCCCAGACATCCTGCGCCAGGGAGCCGACACAAACAAAGGAGGACGCGGGAGCCCCAGGTCACGCAGAAGGCCTAGGGGGAAAAGAGCTGGTGTAAGAGAAAGGCTAAGGCGAAGAGCACACCACACCCCACTGCCTAGTATTTTGCTAGCCAATGTCCAGTCACTGAAGAACAAGCTGGATGAACTCAGGGCCAGGATACAGTACCAGAGGGACATACGGGACTGTAACATCATCTGCCTCACCGAGACATGGCTGACTCCTCTCGTACCGGACTTCGGCATTCGACCTGTGGAGTTCCTTACAGTTCACTGCACAGACAGCCGTGGACTTTAACACTGCTAACTTGAAAAAGGTGATACCAGAGTTTACTCAACACATCGACTGCCCCACCAGAGGAGTAAGGACTCTGGACCACTGCTACTCTCCATTCAAAGAAGGCTACAAAGCAAAACCTCTCCCCCTTTTGAAAAGTCGGATCACGCCGCTGTTTTTCTCATGCCTAAATACAAACAAAGGCTGAAGCAGGAACGCCATGCAGTGAGAGAAGTGACACGGTGGACCGATCAATCAGAGGCCGCTCTGCAGGGTGCACTGGACTCAGCCGACTGGGACATGTTTCACAGCAGTGTGGGTGGAGAGGAGTTTACGGAAGCGGTTGTGGGATTTATCGGAAAAGTTGTGGATGATACCACGCCAAGGAGGACCATCAGGACTTTTCCTAACCAGAAGCCCTGGGTGGATAGATCTGTCCGCGATGCTCTGCATTCCTGCACCGCTGCCTATAACTCGGGACTTGCCACTGGGAACATGGAGGAATACAAGTCGGCCTCTTACAGTGTCTGCAGAGCCGTGAAAGAGGCTAAACACCGCTACGGCCAAAGACTGGAGAGACTGATGGAACAGTCTGATTCCAGGGGACTGTGGCAGGGACCCCCCCCCCGGTGAGTGCTGACGCTTCACTGGCTGACAAACTCAACAACTTTTTTGCACGCTTTGAGTCAGGAAACTGACTGCTCGCTGTGCTCCCAGCCGGAGGGGAGGACACACTCGCTGTGATGGAGCATGACGCGAGGAGGGTGTTTAAAAGTGTGAACACCAGGAAAGCGGCTGGACCAGACGGGATTAGTGGACGTGTCCTAAAAACCTGTGCTGATCAGCTGGCACCTCTGTTTACAGTGATATTCAACCTCTCACTCAGACAGTGAGTGATCCCAACCTGCTTTAAGAAATCCATAATAGTCCCTGTCCCAAAGAAACCACACCCCAGCAGTTCCAATGACTTCAGGCCCATAGCCGTCACATCTGTGGTGATGAAATGTTTTGAGAGACTGATCAAGACATTCATCACCTCCACACTGCCCACCACCCTGGATCCACTACAGTCCGCATACCGGCCGGACAGATCCACAGATGACACCATAACCTTCCTCCTCCACAAGACCCTCTCCCATGTAGACATTGGCAAGGGAAACTATGTGAGAGTGCTGTTTATTGACTACAGCTCAGCATTTAATACTATAGTCCCCTCCAGACTGGCCTCCAAACTGCTTGACCTGGGTCTGGACTCCTCCCTGTGCAGACCACAGGTGGTTCGAGTGGGTCACCACACTTCAGCCCCCCTGACTCTAAACACTGGATCCCCCCAGGGCTGTGTGCTCAGCCCTCTGCTGTACTCGCTGTACACACAGGACTGCGAGGCCACGTCAGACTCCACACCGCTGTTGTAGGACTAATCTCCCACGATGACGAGACAGCCTACAGGAGGGAGGTCTCCCACCTGATGGACTGGTGTCGGGAGAACCACCTCCTGCTGAACGTCAGCAAAACTAAGGAACTGATTGTGGACTTCAGCAGGAAACAGCAGAGGGACTTCCATCCACTCACTATCTGTGTCTCTGAGGTGGAAAGAGTGGACACTTTCAGATACCTGGGAGTGACCATCTCACAGGACCTGTCATGGACTCATCACCTGAACACCATTGTGAAGGAAGCCAGACAGTGTCTCTACCTCCTCAGACGCCTCAGAGACTTTAAGGCCAGTACACACCAATCCGATTATCGGCCGTCGGACATCGTCAGACAGGCGGGCGAGGTCGGTGGCTTGAGTACAATTGGCCAGTGGCCGTCGGCCTCAATGACCAATCTGATTGGTGGAGTGCTAGCCCTTGACTAGCGAATCAGTGAGTGCACGAGAAAACCGGAAGTGGCGATGGTAAACAACGCCAGTATCTTTGTTATTATCGTATTTTCCGTTCAGCGAGTAATGACAATAACGATCATTCTTGACTACTATCAACACTCTCTGATGAAAACAATGACGAACGACAGCGTGCTCTGTGTTTACTAGGTCTAGAGTGATCAGTCATTTCCGGTTTTCATTTTTTTTGGGCGACAACACAGATTAGTGCCGCCTGCTGTTATGGGGACGTATTACGCCTCGCTCACCCGCAGAACGTACACTCTAGTTGACGTCGTTTTGGTGTGTTCGGAGGAATTTTTTTGACCAACCCGGGGAGACGGGAGCCGACTGAAGGGTGGTTCGTTCTGCAGAGCGGACCATCAGAACCCCCCTTCCCAACCTGCAGGACATTTACACCAAACATTGCAGGTTAAGGGCCAAGAAGATCCTCAAACAGCCCAGTCACCCCGGACACTCTCTCTTCTCTCTACTACCATCAGGTCGGCGTTTCCGATGCCTGAGGACAAAGACTGAGAGGCTGAAGAAGAGTTTCTATCCACATGCCATCCGCCTGCTCAACTCTGAGCCTTAACCGGACTTAAAAACCACTGCACCACTGCACTTTACTCACATAGCTGCTTTCAATGCTGTAAATGTGTGTATATATACGAGCTACCCCCTCTCTTTACACTTGGAGTTTACAGTCTATATTTTATATTACAGTCTATATTTTATTTTATTTTTCTCAGTTTTATATTTACACTTATATTGTTTACCTTGTGTGTTATGTGCAATTACTACTGTTTTACTGTAGTATTTTTTTTTTTTACCACTGGCTGCAGGTACAAAGAATACATTTCACTGTGCATTGTACTATGTATAACTGTGCATGTGACAAATAATATAATATATATATAATAATAATAATATCTTATCTTCTCCTCTTTCCTTCAGTCGGATGTCTGCTCTCAGTGGCCTGATGTGTTTCCTGGAAGGAAATACAAATAGCTTGAAAAAAACTATTTTTAAACTTTTTGACCTCTTGTCTTCATCATTTGTGGTATAATTTGCAGAAGGTTTAAATCTAAATAAAACAAAGTACTTTTAATGTTCAGCTTTGTTCAAACAGCCACTGATGGTGTGTATAAAGCTTTATCTTTCCTTGATATTACTGTATTGCACTCTGCTGTCATGTCTCCAATCTCCACAGTGGCAGAGGTACAGCAACTGTTATGCTGACCTTTTGGTGGTCAAATGGGAAATGAAGGAAACAGATGCTGCATCAGCCCCAGGCTTACCTGCCATAAAGTTTAGGGTTCCCACTCCCCTGCTGTAAACGTCCAAAGCCTTACATCTCATAGTCCCTCTGTCAACTGTCTTATATGTAGATGGCTAAATAAACCTACTGAGGGGCCCTTCTTCTCTTTCTGTGGTTTTCTCGTGTGGTTTATAACTGAGATGATCAAATTAACACTTGCATAAGTACTCAATCATTTCCCTTTTTAACATTATGCCACATCTATTCTTTCATCCCATTGTTGCCATGAGAAAAGATGAAGTTTAATTTATTTATTTTTTATTTCCTTAATTTTTCATCTTTTGAATTAAATGCGTTGATTGTATTGTTTTTGACAGAGGTAGCACTGTAATAAAAAATATATTTTGTGAAGCCACGCTTGCCAACCACACTAAACTTTGCATCCACCTTTCCACCTGCTCTGTGCCTGTCAGTGCACACAAGCATGTAAATGAATATACAGCCATGTAAGCACCCTAAACACATCAGTGCTTTGAGCCAAACGCTTATGGGAGGCATGTAAAGACTAAACTTCTTGTCCCACCACCACATAACATTTTTTGTTGTTAGTATTTTTGGAAAATACTGTGGAACCTACTGTATAGATTTATAGATTAGCTTTCATTTGTGCAAAGCGAAGACTTTCCAAACTATGATTTTCCTGTTTGTGCCTATAGTCTTTAAGTCTGCATCACTTGGAATCTGACACAGTGCTCCCATTGAAATAGAACAGAGACGAACATCACGCCGCGCTTAGTCGCACAAAGGATCTTGCCCTGTGAACTTGCTGTGGTTTTGTTCAGACAGAACTTTAATACCTGTGCCATTGAATACATACCTCGCTCCTTTCTTTTCACAGATGCATATGTCACATTGTGTTGAGTATCTAAATCACCACCTCTGTCTGAAAAATAGGAAAACCAAACCCAAAGCAATCATTTGCAATTAAAAACAAATAAAAATCTAAACTTTGTACAAGAAAGTAGCATATTTGACCAAAACAGGAAGAAAGGGGTATACATACAGTGTGTACCTGTGCACATATAGGTCCAGTGTGTAGGATTTAGTGGCATCTAGTGTAGTTACAGATTGCCACTCCCTTGTTTCACCCTCACCTTCCAAGTGCGAAGGAGAAACTGACCGTGAATCACGCAAAAAACGCAAACGTGCCTATCTACAGCCAGTATTTGGCTTGACCATTCTGGCTACTGTAGAAACACATTGCAATTCAACATAAAGGACCCTGTAGAAGACAATCCGTGGCAACAAAAACACCATGATTCCTATTAATATTATATTCCATTTCTGACAATACAACCTCCTAAATGTTACACACTTGACCTTTAACTATAACTACACAACATTAAATTAATCAATAATCAATGATAGTGTTGCCTACATAACATAAATAAATTAATAAAATGTTCTGAGGTGTAGAACTATCCCCTCTTGAACTCTACATTCAGAAATGTACCTCTGGTGGTGCTTCCTTCAGCTTTGTCCTCAGTACTTCTGTGTTTCCTGCATTTCAGTAGTCCTAGTCCCAACACCAACAGCAGGAGGGCCACCAGTAAAGAAGTGCCAGCAATCCACAGTGGGGTGAGTGGATCAGGTGAGGGACTAGGGGAAGGATGAGTCCCTTCATCAGGTTCTGAAAAGACTTCATGATGCAGTTGTTTTTCTGATTTGAGAACAGCATTTATTTAGTATATTTTTAACCTTAAATCAAACCATTAACTTCTTATTGAAAGTGTCCAGCAGTTAAAAATGTTCACAGTCTGGATTTCCATATGAAGAAAAAGGACTGAAAATAACTTTTTATGGACAATATCTCATCAGACACATTATTCAAAGGTTTTTGCTCAGTCTTAAAACATGGAGGGTTCCTTTAAAATAACTCTGGTCCATCTCTGTTTCTGGGCATTAAAAGATTTACTGAGATGGAAACAGTAAATTCAAATAAAACTTCTTATAATGTTAAATCAAAACAAATGATTGAAAACCTGTGGTAACCGTGACAACAGCAAATGCTGTTCAATATGTTTCCTGTGACTGCAGAAGCCACCTCATGCTTTTCCAGCAGAATCTTTTTAAGTTGACATGACACTAATTTTCTCTATGCCTCACCTCTTTTATCTCATACACTCACCCACTTCTCTCTCATGATCAAGTCAAAATGGTCCCAGTCTGCCCTCTGCAGTCAATCAGAACACAAAGACTTTTATTGTGGTGGCCAGTCTGACAAGGAAGTCACCTGACCCCTAACTGTTTATTGACCTAAGAAACATATACCTCTGATACAACAGGGGGAGGAATTTGCAGTTACTGCATCAATTCATCATCTATAACCACTATTACAGCTCACAAGTGCAAAGCTGAGGTATACATACAACTACACCAAATGTACTTCTTTGTGTTATGTTTAACTTCTTTAACTTTTTGTCTTTATTCATCATAACTTTTCCTACAGTCTGCTGTTGAACTGTTTAGTCTGGGTGTAAATGAAGGAGTTTTTGTTTCCATGATAGACAAAATCATAATCATAATATTGGCATTTTGATTTTAGCCTATATAAGTGTGGTTATAGGCTAAAATGAGATAAATAAAATAAGCATGCACACAGTGTTGTTAACATAGTCTAAGATGCAGTAGACGTGCACATGACCCAAGGCTACAATAGACAGTAAAACTAGGTAAACACACCTTATTTGATTACCGTTGAGCATGTACCATATGTTTTATTTGAGGACTTTGCTGCACCCTGAGGTGATCTGAAGCTTTGACACCACCTAACAGGTACAGAAATTGTTCTCTTATTTTAACATTTCTTTGTGGAATGTGTGACTTTTTATTACAAAATGTAAAGGTTATTTGTGAAATAATTTAAAGAGATTGAACAGCAATCCCTGGCTGCAGTTCTAGCTTTAAGTAGAAGTACTTCTTAAACTGCTATTACTGCAACACAGAACACACTCAGGTACAAGACATCTTGTTTGTAGTGCCTTATGTCCATGTTTTTATTTCTGTATTCTGTATTTTCTCTTTATTAAAAAGCTTCATTAAATTAAGAGACTCTTTATCTGTACCAATTCAAATCTATTAGTAACGCATTTTTATGGATTTAGTTTTCTGACATTAGTAATGTTGTATTTTTAGTGTGTCATCACAGAACAAAGTAAATATATTAAAATATTTGCACAATGTCTTGTATATATGTATCACTATCAAATAATAAAAGCAAAGAGCAAATTTAATACTTTCTCTTGCATGAATTTATATCTGCTAGATGTTCAATACAGTCCCAAATGGTAACATATTGTCTGATCACATAAAGGACTTAAAAACTAATACAACTGTGATAATTGTTAAAAGCATTAAAATGTGGCTCTACTGTACCAGGACATTGTAGCAATGTTGTTCTCTGGGTTTTCCTTCCAGGTGATTCGGTCTCATTCACTCCTATCTGTTGAATCTCCACCATGGATGTTCGAAGTGTGGGTTTAACATTGACATGTTTAATGGCTCTGTTAACACATAATGGTGAGTCAGTATTTTGATCATGGTTACATTAAAAAATCCTTAAGATTACTCTATTAAATTATGGTGGTATTGTAATGGAACTAATTTAGGTTTACTTTAATGTGATTGAACTGTTCAAAGCATTTTCTTTTCTTTTGTTTATCTGTTTATTTTTTTATTGGTCCTTAAGAAGTAATAGTTTTGTATGGTCTACCCAGTGTCTGAGCCCCAGCTCTTAAGCATGAGAGTAGTTCAATGAAGGGGAGACAATATGCAGCGGTATGTTCTTGTGGAAATAAGATTAAAACGAGTGAGTTAGCAGTCAATAGCAGTATAACATCAAAGAGGTCTTTACACATACAGTCCAAGTGGGCCCAAACAATATGAGGCTGATGCGTCAACTAGTATACACACACAGACACATGCACGATCAAATGCATGATCCCCTCCAGGCTTATGTCTGGTAGAAATAACTATTTAAAAAAAACCTGTTTGTTTTTTAACACAGCTGCATATTGACATGAATGTAAACTCTATTTCTAGCAATTCTACAATTAATTATCTGTATATAAATATTATTTCGTCTTGATTTTGGTGTCCGTTGTATTCACATTACTGTATTTGTTCTCACACTGCACAATAAGTGTATTGAATTTCTGCTTTTACTGAAACATGTACGTCACGCTGCTTCCTTTTATTCTGTCTGCTGCTTTAAAGGGGCTGAGGAGACTTCGCCTGAATGGCCATATGTGAAGGTTGACACAGCACTAAAAGGTAAATGAGTACAGGTCGGCTAACAGTAATTCTCTTTGGATCCTAATTCCAAAATCCACAATACTCCACAATATTCAAGTATATTAAGTTAGTGATAAAAGCACACTGCTGTTGTATTTATTTATCTGCCATTGTAAACAGGAAAATCTCTAGTCAAATTTAAAAATGCTTTTATAGTGCACACATTATCAACTGATCAGCTGTACATGAGCTCATTATGAGGTACTGTTTATGAGTTATACACTGTAGTGTTAAAACCAGATGCAGAAGTGTTATTAAAGCTCCCACAACTCCCACCATACATTTGATATGACTATAAAGTCATCAGGCGAGCCGGCTATTCCACACTGGCCTTGAAAGCTCAGCAACAACTTGAGAACACGCATCCAATAGACAAAACAAAGAACAACTAGACAGTAAGCCTTTCTGGAATCTGATTCAGATGTTTTCTTAGTATGCTTGTGTTTTGTGTCTCTGTATGTTTTCTTAACCTGCAGTGTGTGGAGCAGAGCTTAGGCCCACTGATTTAATGATCATCCACACATTACTCTATAAACATGTACATATATTATTTCCTTATTTCTAAAAGAGGTTTTGTCTGTGTATACTGTAAAAACATTATGCACACAGAAATATTCTATATGAACTATATTCTAACTAATCACTTCACAAATAACCCTTTAAAAAAAATGACTTCTTTCTTTGTAAAATTTACATTCAATTTAGAATATTTCAACAAAAAAATAGAGTCTACAAAAACAATATTTTAAAATGAAATGTCTCTCTGAAACATTGTAAAGCTTCAAAAACATCAACTGAATCCAACAATGAATTCCTATTGAAACAGAAACAGTAACATTTCTGTTCATCCTCAGTAATTCTGATACTCTATATAGTTGTAAAGGTGCTATCAGACAGTGAGCACCTGCTGCTGTGTCTGCAGAACAATATGTAAGTGTGGCAGCCACAAAATTGCCACCAATGTTGGGAGCACAGCTGCCATTTACATGTAACACAAAAGGGGTGGCAGAGGCTACTGCTAGCTGTACCTTTACTGACCTTTTGAGGGGACAGCAAATAGGTTCTGACTGCTCCTTGTGTTCTTAATGTTGTTCTGTATTTTGTTATTTCAGCTCATCAAACAAGTTTTCTTTTCCATTATGCCATCGTGCCTTGTGTCCTTGCAGTTTGTGCAATTTCTGCGTTTGTGTGTTGCACATGTGGAGGTAAGATAGAGCTGGTTGACAGTTACAGTGTTGTGAATTGTGTCAATTTCATGAAATTAAATGATGTGGAGAGGATAAATAGATCGACATTGGTTAATTAGACTTTGTTTCCTTTTAAATGAGTACCTTTTCCCACAGTGTGGAGGGCCCTAAGGAAGCTCGGAATTTAGTTTTTATGAAAAGTTTGTTTCTGTCAAGTCTACGTTACTAGCGCGAAAAGTATTTCACTTTTTTTTTTCTTGATTTAAAACCCTGATAACCAGTCAATGTGCGTGTGTTTATTAATAGTTTTTTTTGTTTGTTTCTTTCAAGCAATATGGTGCACATTGTTTGGTTCATCCTGTAGTAGGTTAAACAAAAATAGTTCATCTCCAAACATCTATTTGCACTGATATTGGCGACTACCTGACAACATCCAGACAAGGGATGTGAAAATCTCATACTCAGTGTTGGTTTCAGTCCTGATACTGGGCAACATCACTTGATTAGATATCAGGAAAAAAAAAAAAAAAACACAAGTCAGATTATGTTTTTAATGGCTACGTAAAGCAAAGTGTATCCTAACAAATGTATTATTTACATATTAGTTGTTTATGATTGGAAAAGACAGATTAGTATCAATATTAGACAATATTGATTGGTATCAAGATTGATATGAGTAGTCTAGGCAATCATATCCTTTGGAAAAAAAAAAAATTATAATAAGCCAGGCTTCCAAAAGAAAAAGAAATACAGAAAGAAAGCTATCTTTAGAATTCAGAATGTGAGTGAACACAAGTTGCTAACACTGTTTCTTAGTAGTTAAAATGTTATTTAGCCTGAACCACTGGGTAACAATATAATAGTTGACTTGCTGATGAATTAAGCAGCACATCCTCTGTTTCAGAAGACGATCCATCAGCAGAAGCCCAACAATCTCCTCCTGGTGATCTGAGACAAGGTAAGTACACAAAGCACTTTCTACAAGTGATTTCAGGCTGCTTTTTGTAGCAGTTTACATTGAAAGGAGAATACTACAATTACATACTCTGTATAATGCTTTATAGGCTTTATTGAAACAGTTTGAGAAATATAAAAGACTTGTATGATATTATTGGGCCAGAGATTGAGTAAGAAAATGTAATAGAGGTGAAAAGAACATGGTAAGGACTAGAGAAAAAAAGAAGGGAACCAAGAGAGGGATGTAAAGAGTTTCTGACAGATGAATTTGAACTTTATTATATTTGTTTGTCTTTTACTATTAACTAATTGTCTGGTTTAACTTTAACTGTTAATGTAGTTACAGGAATACAGGTACCTATTGGTACATTCTGGGTATGGATGCAGTTAAAGGAGAAATAACTATTTTAAGAGTTTCACAATGACATTTCTGTTATGCTTCTCTTTCCCATTCAGTATTAGTACATTCTTCAAAAAAAGAGAAAAAGAAGATTGTTTCTAAACTGTTGGAACAGAAGAAAGACATTGTGAAACTAATGAAGGAACTCCAGTCACAGTGTTTGGAAGTCGTCAGAGAAAAGGTGGAGAACAAGGAGAAGCTTCAGTTAGTGGAGAAGGAACTCGAGAATGAGACAGTCGACAACAGACAGGAGTTATTAAAAGAAAAAGAAAATCTTTTAAAGTCCAAATGGAAACTTGAAGAGAAGAAGACAGACAAGGAGAAGGTGCTGCTGCAGACAGAGAGACTACTGCAGATAATAGATGATGTGACTAGAGAAGAGGATCACTACATTGTTTCTAAACTGTTGGAACAGAAGAAAGACATTGTGAATCTAATGAAGGAACTCCAGTCACAATGTTTGGAAGTCGACAGAGAAAAGGTGGAGAACAAGAAGAAGCTTCAGTTAGTGGAGAAGGAACTCGAGAATGAGACAGTCCACAATAGACAGGAGTTATTAAGAGAAAAAGAAAATCTTTTAGAGTCCAAATGGAAACTTGAAGAGAAGAAGACAAACAAGGAGAAGGTGCTGCTGCAGACAGAGAGACTACTGCAGACAATAGATGCTGCAACTGGAGAAGAGGATAAACTCCAGTCACAGTGGGTGGAAGTAGACAGAGAAAAGGTGAAGCACAGGGAGAAGCTTCAATCAGTGGCGACAGAAGTACTGCAGACTATAGATGCTGCTCCAGTGTCTCAGGTTGACCGTTATTAAAACCAGCCCTGATTCATTTACAGTTACTCAAGTCATTACATCTGCAAGTGAGTACAATCATAATAATAAGGGTTAAATATAAAAAAAGAGTTTAGGTTTGGTGATAGTTTAGTAAGTTGGACAGGATTATGCTATTTTCTAAAATTACTGTAATAATTACAGATGACGACAGCTGTTCTAAAGCTACTACAAAACAAACATGATACAATCAGCTAGAGAGACAATAAATCACTCTATTGGAAATAACAAACCAAAAAAATGCTGCTACCTGAATCTTTTGTACATTTTCTCAATGATAATTAAAAAAATATTTTTTATTTAATTTGTTTGTCTTTTGGGATTATAAAAATGCTGATCATACCCACTTGAAATTAAACTGCTTCTGGTTGATCTTCTGTTTCTGCAATTTTTGTGACTGACAGACCGACGCTCAACAGTTTCTTTTTGCAGTTATAGAAATAAAAACCTTTGTCACAGTGTGAGTTGAAACTTTATTTCTATTATTCTATAAGTCTCAGTAAGCATTTAGCTGCTCAGTGCACCATTGTACCCGTACTGCAGTGCAGCCTCACAAAGATGCTGTAGATTTAATTTGGTCAGCTTACAAACTGGTAATGAAACATCAGAGCAGATGGCGGGTTCTGGAAAATAGACCTTATTCTTCAGTATGCCGATATGCAAATTATATGCAAACCGCGCTCTACTTGCCCCTCCACTCAGAGCCCTCCTCTCAAGACCAAAACACTGACAGAAAGTTGAAACTGAAAATCAGTGACACTGAAAAAAAACTGACATTGTAAAAAAATCTGCCACTGAAAAAAGAGTGACATGAAGAAAAAATCTGATGATTGTCATTGAAAAATACAAAATAAAAAAAAACAATAAAATAAAATAATACGATTTTAAGATTTTAATTATTTTGATTAGTTTCTTTTTTTCAGTGCCAATACTTGTTTCAATGCCAATACATCCGTTTTCAATACAAATGTTTCATTGCCAATGTTTCCTTATTCAGTACTGGTTTTGTTTTCAATGCCAATTTTTGTTTTGAATGCCAAATTTTAATGTCACCGTCCTGGCACCATAGTTGGTAAGATAAATCACTGTTTTTGTATGTGGTCCACTACTCACTGATATGCAGGAGAAAAGGAGACGGCTGTGGCCCGCACTCGTACTGTTTTGATAACTTCTGGTTTTGTGAGGAGCCTATTTAGTTTTATCACATTTTTTTATTATTTTTATTTTTATAAACTCTTATATATCAGATGATTGTGATGATGATGAAGTGTATAAACTGAGATCACAGTGAACCAAAGAACACACTGTAAATTATTAAAGTGATCTTATTTGCACAACTGTAAATGGCCACAGCCAGTGTAAGCTGCCTACGTAAAAAGTAGAATAAGAATTATATTTAGCTATAAGTACTGCCCTCTGTTATGATTGCTTTAGGATAGTGAATGATGTGTTCTCTAAAGAGATATTGTTCATTCTCAAATAACTATAATATTGTTCTAATACTTGATTTGGAGGAAACGAAATTGGGGTAAAAAAAAAAAAGCCAAAATACAGACACAGATTTTTACTTAGTTTAACTTTTAAAAAACTAACCCGTCACTGTCGCTCAACCTTGTATTGTATGACAAATAAATGACCGTTATACCTTTATATTTACCAATGTTGTTATGTAAAGAGAAGACCAAATACCAAAATACCAAAAAAAACTAATAAAATAATTACTGATTTCTTTTCATTGAGCTGGAGACAGTATTGTTTGATTTTTAAGAGACAAAATTATAGCTGACATAAGCTGACTGCTTCACTAGTTTTTAATGTTAAACATCTGCCTCATCTCCCTAACATGGTGGTGATGTTTAGATTGCATGGTTTCAGCGCAATTTCATTTTTGTCTCAAATCGTAGGCATCTCTCCTTGATCCGCTAGCTGCCTGCCCCCTGAATACACTGTGAAAAAACCCGGTCTCGGGAGACAACACAGGGCTCGTAAACGTCAAACAATCACTAGGGGCACAGGCTGTGCACCAAAATACAACAAACCAGTTCCAGCCAATCACTGACAAAATGGTTGGGAGAGGGGGAGAGAGAGAGAGAGTTGTATCTGAGAGTAGCTGCACGACTCAATTCGATAAAAAAAACACGGGGGGGAGGGGCGAGCTTGCTCTGTTTTGTTGGGTATTTACTTTGAACGACAACAGAAGTGACATCATGCAGGATCGCATAGTGCACCTTTAAATTGGTGTTAAAGCTTAATTATTAAGTAAATAATAAGAAGAAGCAGAATATTAAGAATAAATGCGAGCTCTGAACTGCAGGACATTGTAAACATCTTTCTCACAATGGCCATGGCAGTTAGTGGACCTGAGATAGAAATGTACCCTGGCTATGTCGTTATAAATTGTGAGTTATATAATAATAGACAGCAGGGTTATCTCCAATAAAAGGAAACAGTAGACATATTCTTCCTGTTTATTTCTGTGCAAATGGTTTGATATGTTCTCAAAAGAAAAGGTAAAAAGGTTTATTTTAGGCAGTTAAGATAATCAAGATAATTTACTAGCAAATGTTGGTTATTTTTGCATAAGTGTGGAAAATATGTACAAACTGTAACAACAGTATGTGATGTTAGTTTGAGCCATTTTTTCATGTATGTTAAAGTAAACACAAAAGCGTAACTGAAAGCAACGCCCTGTTGACTCTCACAGTTACACACATTTACAGCCTTAAGCTGTGACCCAGTCTGATCTAGCCAACTGGAGCAGTCGACAGTTGAGGACATTGCTATGTGATCATTTACAGTTCAGCTAAACATGGCTGCAGCTGGACACAGATGGCCAGGGTCAAAGTACTTTTATTGAGGATCTTGACCGTGCAGCTTACTTTACTGCAGTGAGGCGATCTGTGAACAGGTAACAGATTTAAAAAAATTTAATCAATTCCTATCTGTTTATTTCTCATATAGATATTTTTTTTTTTTTTTGCCTTTGTTGGATGGTGGCTGCTGGGGGCGGGGGTGGCATGCGGCAGGGGGCCGCAGGTCGGATTCGAACCCTGGGCTGCTGCAACAACACCGTACATGGATCGCCAGCTCTACAGACTGACCTAACTGGGCGCCCAATTTCTAATATTTTTTATATTTTAATAACTTTTCACTTTAAGAACTCTGACAATAATTTTGTAAGTGTCTGCAGAGAGGCAGGTCTGTTGTCACAACAAACCATCCTCATTTTCTAAAGTGTTAACAGTCAAAATTGTATTAAAATGGTGATGGTGAAATGGTGAAACAATCAGGGTATTTTAATATATAACTGTTCCCAGTTTACCTAATAGTAATTGTGTTGACTTCAGTGTTACTTATAGGTCCTAGAACAAATACAGCAACGTGGGGCAATGTTGGGTTTTTAAACTCTTGTCATAGGAACTAATTCTAATGTTATAGAGGCTTCACAATCCCAACATTAAGGAATATATTGAAATCCAAATTTTTTTTATGTATAACACAATGATTGATTCATCTTCATGTATGAGTTATTCAACCTGTTGGCATTGTATTGTTGGATAACCAGATCACTGTAGAACTTTTATATGCAGTTAATGTTTTATGGCTTTACTGCTACTACTACTACTACTACTGTGCACTAGTCTTTCAACAGTAGTTACCAACGGTTTCAGGCAGCCCTGTTAAGAGAAACACCTTCACAAGTATTTGCAGTATACCACACAAGATGGACATCTTAAGTAATTGTAGACACCTATTTGACTGTGATTTACTTGTTGAGCTCGCTCAAATTGAGTTTATTTTCCAATATGTTCAGTATGTTATGCAAAGTTGTGCAGTTATCCATAATGACTGTATATGACATTACATTTAAATGTCCACTATATTTTAATGGTCATTTGGCTCCTTGTACTAACCTGCTGAATTATAAATATTATGTCAGATAATGTTTTATCGCTGGACACAATTACATGCCACACCAGAAACACTTTTCCAATTTAATATTGTGTAGCAGATTTTCTTTCTCAACCTTGATTGTTCATTCCTTTATTTCAATTTTACAGAAGTCCATGATGCTTCACCTGAAGAAGAGGCTGTCTAAAACTGGGTTTGACAGGGCCCGACAGATCCTCCAGTGCAGTGATTCTACAGTGTGAGTCTAAAGGCTGGTATCCAGAGCCTGAGGTGGTCTGGCTGGACAGTGAGGGAAACCTCCTCTCTGCTGGACCTACAGAGACAGTCAGAGGTCCTGATGACCTCTATACTGTCAGCAGCAGAGTGACTGTGGAGAAGAGACACAGCAACAACTTCACCTGTAGAGTCCAACAGAAGGACATCAACCAGACCAGAGAGACACACATCTATGTTCCAGGTAGAACGATTTTCTAAATGCTTAATGTGATCACTGTTTCGGCTTCAAACTGCTGGTTTTTAATTTTGTTTAAATATAGTGGAATTTTTAATTATTTCAGGTGATTTCTTCGTGGCCCCGGAGCTGCTCTGCTGCTTGTATCAGCATCAGTTTGGTTGCTTGCTTCACGTGTGTTCTTGCAGTTGTCTTTGCTGTATGGAAATGGAGGCAAAACAAAACCAGTGCGTTACAAATTAATTAATTTTAACTTCTCTCCAGCATAATATCTCTCTAGTGGCTGAATTCCTATGCAGAGTTTAAATTATTTTGAATGAATAGTTTTTTTAATTGTAATTGGGTCGTACAAGTAAAGTAATTAGTGCTTTAGTTTCATTGTCACATTTCACTTCATCTGTCCTGTTCAATAACACTCATGCATAACCAGCACTGCATTAAACAAATAGTAATGTAAGTGATTCTCTCTGTTTGTTAACAGAAACCAGTATGACTGCACTAAGAGAAAAGGAGCAGCTTATGGCAGAGAGTAAGAAAGGGAAGGACACTGAGAAGAAAATGGAAGAAGAATTAAAGAGGAAAGAGGAACAACATAAAGACATGGTTGCTACACTGATGACACAGAAGAAGGAACTGGAGAAACAGAGAGATCGACTGAAGGAGCAAGAGGTAAAGGTAGAGAATCAGAAACTTCAGTCAATGGAGAAAGATATAACAGAGAAGGATGAAAATAAAAGACTCACCAGTGCACCAGCATACCGAAATCTGAAAGAATTAACTGTTAAATACAAATGGGAGCTGAATGGCTCACTGAAGGTATTTGAGGAACTGATACTGGACACAGAGAAACTATTAGAGAAGACAGAGAGTGTGATTGTTAGAACAACGGAAAATAAGAAGGAAGCTGAAAACCACATGGATGAACACTAAATGTGAAGTTTTTACACTAAATACTCCATTTCAAAATACTAAGTAAAAACATAAAGGAACAAGAGAAAGATAATCTGCATTTAACTGCTAAGTGCAGTATTCCATTTGTTTGTGAAAGTAAGAACCTGTGTCAGTTTCATATTTCTGTATGTTTTATCTAGTCTTTTTTTAATGTACTGTGTCATATATTTCTTATATTATTTACTATATTCCTTCATTGTATGTCACAATAACAGCCTCTTAAACAAACAACATTTATGTTTAGTGAACATGCTTGAAGTATAAAAAACTGTTGAACTTTCTGATAACCTATTTGAATATACTGTTTTATATTAATGTTTACTCTAACTTTCTTTGTAACAATTTCTGTGCTTCTTTGTGCCTTACCAGCCCCAACTTTTGTGTTATCGTGTCACCCATGCTCTTGTTAAACACGTGTCCATAAACTGAGTGTGTCGACTTCAGGTAAAATTAAAACCATCATATTTGTTGTTGACCACAGTGAGTGTATTTAAATACTGCAGCTGTTCTTAGAAGCTGTATCTTCAGATGTGTGAACAGATAAGATAGAACAATGTGGTTTAACTGTCACTCATATAAAGTGCTCACTCTTGAAAATACGTGACCAAGCCGAAGACCCCAGATATAGACTGAGGAGGACGATGAACCACACAAGCCTTTTCAAATTCAGACTTAAAATGGCTTAAACTGGCAATTCAGGTCAAATGCTAGTGAGTGCATTTTTATTCACCTATTTTTGTTTTTACTTTATATTTGCACATTCAAAGCAACATTCATTGAATTAGAACAAAATTTGAATATCACAAGAAGTGATATAGTAGAAAGGTTTGACTGTAACCTTCCTCAAGTGAATAAATGACACAAACAGAAATGTCAAGTTTCACATTTTTTATTGTTGTTTCATCATCTTGTTGCGCCCTCTTCTTCTGAAATGCTTTCATGGCATTGAAGACTAAGCTGTTGTTTACCTCCAGAAAACTGATCTAAACAGCTGCATTATAAACTTCAGTCATTACTCTCTTTCAGTCAGTGTACTTCTGATAGTGATTGTATTTTGCAAACAACAAAGTGCTTAAAAGATTTACCAGTCATTTATGATAAAAAATGCAGTATTCATAATCAAAAGACAACCAAATGTGCTTTGAAATCTATTTCACATATATGTTTACATTTTTAAAAACGTTGTTAAAAATATATTTAAAAAATACTGTACAGTATGACTTCCTTTCGTGCTAAGAAAAATACAACAGACCATCTTCTCAGTCCTTCAGTCAGGTGTCATCGGCCTGTAAAACGCACAGGATGGACAAAAAGTTAAAAATGAAAAAGTCAACATGACTTCTCTCAGTAAGAATTCACAATAATGTGAGCAATTACACTTCAAGTTCACTGCGAATAAAACAGCAGTATGAATGAAAATAGTAGATCATCAGAAACAGTAAGTCCACTATAAGTGTTGTGTCATGGTTTATCTGACAATAGCCATGCATCTTTATTTAAACCTCCAAATTAGTGAATCTGAGTGTATTTCCCGACCACTGAACTCAACACTTGTTTTTGTAATATAATACAGTCATAGGCGTTTCGCTAAACTTGTTGTAACATGGTTGAACACATAAACTAATACAAACAAAATAAAATAAAGAGAGAGATTCTGTATCAGCCTCAGTCTTACCTGTAGTAGACTGTAGAATAAACACTCTCATCTGGTAATTGTGGCTTGGTATCTGCTCCGGACACGTCTGGCTCTAATTGGGAAACAAAATGTATCTCTGGAATTCACAATTTGTCATAGATATCGTAGATAAATTATGTAGCATTTTTGTAATTTAATACAGTACAATTCAAACGGAGAGGACAAAGCTATCACATGAACCTACTGTTTATGAGGAAACAGTATTCTGCAGACATATCTGTGTAGTGATTAAACATAACACATTGACACTAATTTACGTTAACCTAAAATAAATGCATAAGTATGGCAAGTGGTATCCAAGCAGATAGATGTATGCAGACAGATACTATCCGTATGAAGAAGATTATAAACTAGATCTTTGACAGATTTTATTAGTATTTTTATATGATAGTTTTTATATAGTAGCTCTGGCCTTTCTGAGAGGGGAAGTTTTGAATATTGACAAAACACTGGCACTCACTAGCTTTTCTGATGGTTCTGAGGTACGTAAATGGTAATACTAACATTACATCCAACCAAAATGACAATCTTTATCTAAACATTACCAAAATGCTTTTGTTCAATGCAACTAAGACAGCATGTGGTAATTTATATTTGCTAGGGTTAGGGGTAGGCCCTCATGAAAGAAAATGTGATGATTTTTTTCATCTGCTCCCTAAACCCAACCACAGATGGGAGTGTGGATGTGAATCCTGGACTCTGTGGGTCCTGTGCTTTGTATGCTCATCATCCCTATGTCTTCAGTGCACTTCATTCACTCAATTGAACTCATTTCCTGTGAACAGTCTGCCAATGATTACATTTGCCATTACAACATGATTGAAAAAACAAAATGTAAATGATATTTCTAGGAGACAGTGTGGGTGTACCTCTGTGTTTCCTGCAGACATGTAGTCCCATCGCCAACAGCCCCAGAGCTGCAAACACAGCAGTCCACAGCAGGGAGGAAAGATTAAGAGAGTCACTGTTGGAAGGACGAGAGTCACTGTTGGAAGGACGAGTCTCTTCGTAAGCTGTTTTACTTTGATTTAAAACAGACAGCCAACTCTCTGGTGATTCTCCAGCTCCAGAGATTCTGCACTTGTACAGTCCTTCATCAGACTTGGAAACATTGTGGATGGTCATGTTGTTTTCATACCAGGTCCCTAATTTGACACCATCTTTGTAGAAATCTGCAATGTACATTGAGCGCATTGTGTCACTGCATCAAACAGTTTGAAAACTTTTGATTTATTATTTGCTAAACATACCAGTGATGGAGATGTTGAGGACATCACTCTGGTTTCCCTCTGCATCTTCACACCAGTATTCTCCGCTGTCTTTTAAAGGTAGGATGAATGGTGCAGGAGGCTGCTGATGACTTCCAGTTGTAAGACTCTGTTGGAGTTATTTTGTTGAGCTTCCTCATCACTCTCCATTCACTCAAGCCTCCAAACTCTTCACAACTTATAGTGAGAGTCTCATATTCAAAGAACTGCAGTCTGTCTGGAGAAATACGAGGAAACGCTGCATCTGAGACAGAGAAAGAAGAGATGTTGATGTTAAAGTATTAATAGTATAACATTAAAACAAATATATCTGGGTAACCTGGTTAGTGGGCTCTTGAAGTGTACTTATAATGTCTGTCACATTTTGCACAGGTCACTTGATTACAACTTAATTTATTCTTGGCCCCTCAACACTTTTTCTGTCTGTTGTTTTTTTTTTACTAATTTGTAAAAAAGGTTTAAATAAAGACATGTCAGCAGTGAAGATTATGATCGACAGTGTTAGGGAGTTAATCAAATAAATCCAACTTACCAGCTCTCTGAGCAAAGTAACTATAGTCAGCTTGTGTAGCCAGCAAGACAAACACATCCATCACTGCAGAGACAAACAAAGAGAACTGTTTATCCAATATTCCTTTATGAAAAACTTGTACATACTGTTTTTTGTCATGGGTAATACATGTCAAGTGAGGACTGGTCATCTGGTGCTACCAAGTCTATGAAAAATTAATTGTTACGTTATATGCTCCCAACCAACCAGCTAATGGGGATCCAAATAAAGAGTAAATATAGTGTGCAGATATTTGTCTGCTGGCTAAAAAGACTGTTGAGTAATAGAGTTACACAAAGTCAAAAGTACTCACGCAGTCTGATGCAGAGAGCTGTAACAGCCATGATGTCTTGCTGCTGACTGTCACAGCATCATACTGAAATACAGCTAAGACATGATGTAGGTCAGTACTTCCTCCTCCTGTTTGAATTATTTCTGGTGTTGAGGCAGCAGCAGGTTTGAATTGTATATCTACAAATATCTATCTATCTATATATCTGTGTGAGGCTGAAGTGTTAGAGTGGAAATAATCTCATTGGTTTTATCCAAAAAAAGGGTGACAAGTGTGCGTGCATTATTTGATCTTACACAACCATGGTTTGATCAGGTATGTGCACAGAAACTACCCTGGGAAACTGCTTCGTTGAGGTTTGACAGCCTGCCTCATCACGGTTAAAAGAATAACCACTTGGTTCATTTAAGGAACGATTGTCATCATGACCTTGTTTGGAGTGTTGACACTTTTTTGACCCCTTCATTTTATTTATTCTATTTTGATTTCTTGATGATTTAATAACTTGGGTTGTATGGTATTTTCTTTTCTTTTCTTTTTATTAATTTTTTTGTGAAGCACTTTATAACATTTGTTTCAAAAGTGCTCTATGAATAAAGATTATTATTATTATTATTATTCATCTGCCTAAAACTTCTCAGTAGAAAGTAGTTTTAAAGCTCTGTAGCAAGGTGTAGCTTCTTTATTTCCAGAACAATTACAGTGAAGCACTTGTTGGCAATGACATTCTTTGTCCACCAACAATTCTAATACAAAATGCATGATTATGTATGATATTATATAAATACACATTATCTATTTATACCCTGTTTATATATTGCTGTATACATATATTTATTTTACTATACTTGTCTATTTAATATATTATAGACAAATCTGGGCTCCAGGTCAAGGCTCCCCCACTCCGTCGTCATGGAAACAGCATCCATGGGAGGTTTCAGCTGAAACAGCAAAACAATGTCGCCACCGACCATTACTACAACCAATCTGCTGTGACTGACCTGGAAAAAAGTATAGGTTCTATCATATTAGAACGAGCACATTCACTTCATTGACTTTTATTTG